TTAGGCTGTTTTCACACCTAGCGGTCTGGTATTGCAACATTTGTTGCATTTTCAGTTGGTGTGGTTCGCTTTCACACAGCAATGTATCAAACAATTCAAATCCTTTAAAAAACAAAAAAACTGTTCCCCTCCTCATCTGTGGTGGCGCTGCACTTAGGGAAACGACACATAAAGCTCAGAGTAAGACACAGAGTGCAATTTCCTTTGTTACGAAAAGTAAACAACAATGGAGCAGCGCCAGATTTTAGCAAATGTAAGGTTTCTCTTTTGTCTTTGGTAAAATAACACGAGTCATTTTTCCCGCTAGAACCACAATTTTGCTTTTGTTTTGGTCGAATTTACCCAGAATGCCCTGCATTATAGCCAGTTTTCTGCTTTCAGTCCGCTTGGCATTTACATATAAATTCGAACCTCACCAGAGTTCACTTTAACCGATCCTAGAGTTTTAGGCGGACCACCATCAGAGTTTAATTGAGCATTCAGACCTCCACTCTAGAAACTCGACAAAGTCCACAAACAAACCGGACTTTGTACAGTTTGATTAAAGTGATTAAAGTGAACTAAACCATGGCTGGTGTGAATGCACCCTTACACTATAAATCACTCTCAAACCATTCTCCTTGAAGAAAATCCAATTTAATCCTGAAACAAAAGTACGTTAAAGGAAACGTTTGAAATGGGGGTGAAAGTTCAACTCCCAGCTGACCAACAACCCTAAATGTACAACCTGAGCTGCAATAATTTAAATAATATTCACACATTACAACGATAGAGTCAAAATTCTGATCTAAAACCGTTTCAAACCTGCAGCAGGACTTTAACTTTGATGTTCGCAGATGCTCTCCATTAAATCTGACTAGTTTTGAGCTGTTTTGCAAAGAATGTTGTGCAAAAAATTAAAGTCTCTAAAATAACGGCTATAACTTTTAACTACCGTGAAAGGTCGTAATACACAGCTCTGATGCAGGTGGGCTCAATACAAACACATGAACACAGCAGCTTAGATATATATTTGTAAAAACAAATCTTAAAAAAAAAACCTTAATAGCTTTCTTCCACTTCACAATTATGCACTTCTTTGTGGTAATTAAAATAAACTGCAGTTTGTTTTGCTCATGGCAAGGCACAGTATGTTCACTCTCTCCACTAAAACTAAAATGTGGTATTTCTAAACGGAGCGGAAAAGTTAAAAGATTCCTTTCAAAGAAACAAACTGAACTTCAGACGTCACCGAATGTCAAGAATGATGAATAGCAAAAGGAAATAAATAAGAAAACATTAGAAAAATTAAATGTTGAAACATTTCAATCATACATTAGTGTTATTTATACTAATGAAAATACTTCAGCAGAAAGTAATTATTATATTTCAGAATATATTTGTAAATATGGAGCAGGATTTGAGTTTTTGTGCTGCTTTGAATATTCTGTAGAAATTCAACATGCAGGCTTTCATTTCTTATAAAGAAATTAAAGTGCATAAAAACAGCATTTGACACAGGAGTTCAGCACAAACGCAGGGAGGAGAGACTGTTTATTATTAGATTTTATTGATTTTTGAAAGAGCAATGACACAAAAAGTGACCCCAAAAAAATCTATATTTATAAGACCTTAAAAATCCACAAACAATTTTTTTAACTGGTTTTGTGTCCTTTGAAGGGTAGCCGAATCTCCTTGGTCCGAGTGGAATCCTGTTTTTATGAGCTAAATCTGTGTTTTATTTTTTGGGAGTGAGCTTTAAAGTCTCTTCTCTCTTGCAATGTGTCACAGAACAGAGATATTTTTACCTGTTTCTCAGCAAAAAGACAAAAAGTAAGCATGCAGACTCACACGAAAGGTACAATATAATAACAATAAACATAATAAATGGCACACAGTTATTAAAAATAGTTCAGATTCAAATGCACAAATAATATTTGGATGCTGCTGTTAGTATTTGTATATCAGTGGCAACCAATAAGCTAAATCCATAACCAAGAGAGTGAAAACGTACTTAGAACAATTTGAAAAGTCACACTTTAAAAAATTTACTACAATAATCTTAGTTATTTAGCTTTTCATGGGATTAAAATAATGAGGTTCTTTTTTTAAGTCTTATTTTCATTAGTGTTTTATTTATAAATATTAAAGTTTCAAGCTAAATATTTAGATATGAGACTAAATGTTTAGCTTCAAAATAAGTATTATACTTGGATAATAAGCTTAAGTGGAGTACAAACTAAAAGCTGGACCTTGTGAGCTTTAACTAAACAAAATATTTACTATCTACTAACTAAATATTCAATTTGGAACCAAATATTTGCCTTCCTAGCTAAATATTTAATTCCAAACATTTGCTAGCGAAATATTTAGCAATGTTTGCTTTCTAAATATGTCTGGAGGGTGGTTTTTTTTCTTCTATTTTACCAATATTCCAAGTAGCAATTTTAATCCATTTAACTCTAGGGTGTCCAAAGTGTGGGTCGGGGGCCCTTTGTGGCCCTTAGACTGTTTTTGTGTGGCGCCAACTGCAATTCAATAATTATGAAAATTTGGCCAGCAGGGGTGGTTAATGCGGAGGGAAACTTTTTATTTGAATCAGGATAAAATTAGTACCCATATAGTTTCTTTATAACCATGTAGCATGTAGAACCATGTTTACTGTTCTTATAACTGATTTTCTTTTTATACACTAAATGTGCAAAACCCTTTTCAAACTTTGGATCTACAAGGAATAAGATCCATTTCATTCAATAAATAAAGATCTACTTTATTTGCTTTATTTTAGATTTTTTTTTTTTTTACATTTTCTTGACGCACAAATATTTTTGATTGAATAATTCTGACACAAAATTTGGACACTTATGCTTTTACTATAACAATTTCACCCAGTTTTTATCCTGATGAAGCATTTCTGCAGTGAAAAAGGCTGAAATAAGTCGATCTTTCTGTGAATTGCTAGTCGGATAAACCACGCGCTGAGGTCACAGCCGGCCTCTTTAACCATGAAACCCACTTAACATATAGATAGACCGAATGCTCCCCGTTTAAATTCAAAACCCCCATCTGCAGAATAACCGCTGCTCTCCATTTGCAAATTAAACTACAAACTTTTCACTTCCTGCCACCACTCAACCGTGATTGTTGCTCTAGCTTGCTCAGCGGATCTGTTCGAGTGTTGAGCTCCCACCTCGTTTACAAAAACCTGACGTAAAATCTCGCCCTGAAGTCAAACTACAAGCGACGGATCACATAAGTTCCAGCAGAATAACTGCTGATGATCGGTGTTTACTGGAAACATCGCAGCGAACACAAAATGTCAGCGGCTTCAAAAGAAAAAAAAAAATCAAAGAATGGCCTGCAGCTGATTTCTCAAATCAAACAACTAATCCGATCAGAGAAATCCCTGTTAGGGTTTGAGCGCTTCATTATGAGATTCAGAAACACAGACGGGAAAAACAAGCCTTCCCTCTGCTGTTCTGGAGATTAGTAGCATAAATAAAGGGAGTTACGTAAAATATTTGCTCTGGATTATTTAAATAAATGTTAAAACTAATTCAGTGAAACTACAGTCAAAAAAATGTCCATCATTTATTTAACACTTTTGACTAACAAAAGTTCTTCTTCAAACAATGACAGTTTGAAGAAGAAAATCACCACTAATAAACCAACAAGCAACCTCAATTTATTATTATTTAATGTATTATTTACCCATTTTCCCTAAACTTTTTTACAAAATAGCTCAAGTTCATTTAAATTCAACAGAAAAAATATGTTTTCTGTCACTCTCTCAAATAGTCTTGGGTTTGGATTTGAGTAGGCCATTGTCACACATTAATATGCTTTATTCTAAACGTTAAACTGAAGGAGAATCTCTGTCCATCATGTATTCTGGTTGATGTGCTGTGTTACACTGCAAAAACTGAACATATCAGCAAGGTTTTTTTGCTAATATACTCAGTTTCTAGTGTGAATACCTTAGTACACTTGAAATAAACTACAACTAAATATTTATCAAGACATAGGAGCTTGTTTTAACTAAATAATTCCTTAATATTGATTTTTTTTTAAAATAATAATTCCACTCTCAGATTATTTCACTTAAAAAAAAAAACTTTCATTTCCTCTGGAAACATTTCTTAATATCTTTAAAACGATAGCGGCACAAACGAAAACTTTTGCTACACAAACGTAGCACAACGTTTGAAAGTGGGGACCCACTTCACTCCTGTCCCCAACATAAAGTACTTTCTTTTAACAATGGGCCTTTTAATTAATGTTTTAATCTGTTAGTTTAGGAGGAAGGAAATGTTTTGTTTTGTTTCACTCTTTCAATTTTTAGACCGTTTGAACAGTCCTCCTTCAGATATTCACAGCTTGGAACATTGCTTCATTGCTTAGCCCTGCTCTAAACGTCTCCCCGGCTTTATTCGTGCTCTATTCCTCGGATTTTGTGATGCCGTTTGGTCACTAATGTTCTCTAACAAACCTCTGAGACCTTCCCAGAACAGCAGGATTCATGCTGGGATTAAATCACACACAGGTGGGCTCTATTTGCCCATTAGGTGAGGTTGTAATGTGGAAAAGGGGAAGGAATGGCTTTCTGAGGCACAGTGTTGCTTCCAAGGACCCAGACGGAGGTTAAACCTTAAGCAAAAAAGATCATAAGAAAGTCTGCCCACTTTCAACAAAACGGCAAAATGTTGGAAGATAAACGCTCACATCTGTCGCCTTACTTTATTTATTTAAAATGTACTTTTTTTTTTTTTTCAACTTTCATTTGGGTCTCAACAATTTCTAAAAACAGCAAAAGAGCTTAAAATAGACAAAACGAAAAACGCCTATCTGTTTTTTGGTGTCTGGAAAATGAGCCGCTTCAAAAGCCTCCCAGTTATTGAGTCACAATTGAAGGGCACAGCACAGTTACCAAGCAACTCCAGCTGAATTCAAGAGATGGTTTTATCGCTCTATGCACTGTGCAATGGCTGCTGGAAAAGACAAGGGTTAAGTTCTCAACTTACCATTCAGAAACTACTTGTTCTTGTTGACTGTACAAATCTGCAAATCTGCTTTTCAAAGATGTACAGTTGTGTAATTGGGCATCTGTTTGCAGAAGAGACGGGACATCTTGTCACTTTATTTGGTTTTAAAGTGACAAGTCACCCAAAACAGTTGAAAGGACCTCAAAATATGCAGAACTGACCAAACTAAATCCTCATTATCTAAGAATAATTTGCACAAAAAAATGTAAGGAACATATTTTATCCCATAGGCCTGTCCTAAATGGTTTAGGGAAACATACCTTTACGCTGTCCTTCATTCAACAGTGTATCCTGCTGATATGACCTCTCTGCATGATGATGCATGATGTACCTTTGCTCCATCACCCGTCTCAAACACACCAGCAAGGCAGACGTCTCTGTCAGAGGTTACAGATCCGTGGCGCCATGTGATAAGCACGGTCATTGCCATGATCTTCCCATTCCCTTCCGGAAAGTGATTGCAAGGCTGCTCAATTATTCACACTGTTGAATAATGTTGTCCTCTGTCTTTTATCCGAGCTGATCCTGACCTGCGATCCTTATCTGAAGGCTGAGTAATGGGGGAATCAATAGGAGGTGGCAGGATTTCAATTGTCCATTTCTGATGTTGTTTTTAGATGTGTAAGCTGAACAAAGCTGCAGTTTAGGGTCAGAGTAAAGACAGGGTAACAGATGTTAGTTAATCCATATTTGGGCCCGAATGATTAAAATGTGGTGGATTGAAATTATTTTGTTTTAGAATGGCTATGCAACAGGGATGCAACAATTTATGAACTTACAGTTATTTGGTTATTAGGGTAAACAGTCCAAGTTTTAAATCTGGTTGTGTTTTCTATTCAGGAGAACAGTGGGTAGACCATCTTTGATTTTGTCTGTTTGAGATATCACAAAGAATCAGCAGTTAACATTCCAAGGTCCAAAACACCCTCAGAAAATAAACCTCAAAATATATCTAAAAAATTGACAAGTCAAACAAATGACCAAGAAAAACTCGCCATAACTGCGTGAAATCCAGCTAAGGTAACTCAGTTATGAAACTGTAACACAGGAACGAGCATTAGCTTAATGTATATTTAAATAAAATCTAATTTCTGCTCATGTAGACCATATAACATACCGCGGTTAAACAAAAGATATATCCGTTAAACACAATTACAACTATATAACTTGTGAAATGTGAGTTAACCAAGAAAAACCTTTACATTTGGACGGATAATGTAGCACTTCTTACCTCCTGCTAGCCTAGCGCCTGATACGCAGTCAACGTGAATACGCTGCGTGAGGTGCGTTCAAGTGCAATTGGGAATTACTCATTGCTCATTTCAAACAGGTGAGCAGTGAGAAAATTAATTTAAAATAATTAACTAATTTACATAACAAATAATGACTTATTCGAAGCGTGACTTCAAGTGATATAATTAACCTGTTACATTAGACTAAATTAATTCTAGTCAATTAACTTTAAAAAATTACTGGTCATCCTGAAGCGGACAGTTGACACAGAAATTAAAGATGGCGTCGAGTCTAAACGGAGTCCGGGGTGAGATGGAAAATGCACTTTATCCGGTTCTGTTTTGAAATATAAACACTCCACATGCTCCTTAAGTTTCACTTAAATGGTGCTTCATTCAGCCGAGTGACATAATTGTGAGGGCTGTGGTGAGTTAATTCACTTTACGGAGAGACGTTTTAACTTCCTTTCTAGAGCAACTGCAGTGTCTCAGTACAAGGGGAATTAAGTGTCGGACATATTTTATGGTTTTCTTCTTCTATGTTTGTATTCAGCAACCTAAGAGACTCTATAAACATGTATCAGTTTATTAATGAGAGTTTTCTGTTGATTTGGTCAGCTGACGTTAAATAATGTCAGAAAAATGTAATCATATATATTTTTTAATTAAACATATTATAGCTAAAATAATCTCTATGTTATGGAAAGACAAATGCCCCTCAGAAAAACTGTTTTTTAAAGAGAAATATTGATCAGATAGCTCATCATAACTTGCACCTAATTGAGTTTTTCTTACTTTGTATTTTAACAAATATAGCAAAACAATTTCTTAACATTAACTATTTAAATTATTTCAGTTTTTCACCACTTGCATAATAAGATCTCACCAATATCAACTTAAAGTTAATTCTGCAGATAATTCCTGAGTGCAAATTTACACTCAGGAAATCATATTCCTGGTGCTTTTTCATTTTATTTTATTTTTTATTTTGCTGAGGAGTCAACATGTCATCAGTTTAATTAAGGAGGGAAGATTTGTGACCAAAATAGTAAATTTTGCTGTAATATTTGTAAACTTTGCAATTGTTGTTTATGTCAAGTCTAGGTTTAGATAACATTAAATTTGATTGGTTATGAATTGGTAATATTTGTATGTATGCAGTAAATCAGAACTGAAGTGTGTTTTCTTTACTAATTCACAATCAAATTCTTTCTAAATATTTAACAAAACGAAGCCAAAAGCAGGGGGAACAAAGTTGGAATTGAATGTCTCGTCTAAATAAACTTAGTAAAAAAGGGAATTTTGTGCAAAAACCACAATAGTGGTTGTGACATCCTTTGGGAAAGTCCCATTTTTTTAGCGCAGTGAGGCTGAGGAACCATTAACAGTGGGAAAACATTTCTTCTCTGAGTAAAACCTTTCTCTGCACATTAAACATGAAGAGAATCTAATTTGACATTTGCAGAAATTCAGAAATTACCTTTCTTATGCTCAGCAACCGTGCAAATAATATAAATTATGCTAGTTCATCTTTAAATGTTTCCAGTTTCTCTAATGACTCTTCCTTTGACAGAGAATATTTCTCAGAAAACTAAACCTTATGCCTCATCAAGCATGACCCGCTCTGAGATGAATTTCAACCCTGAATGGTGCCAAAAACGCCATTAAAGTCTGTTTGTGAGTAAAAATGCTGGAAAGGTGATGTGTTTTTTTTTTTTTTTTTTGGTTCTGTTCAGGTCGGTGCCGATTTTCCAATCCCACCTCAGTGCGAACATTTAGCCGAACTCACGGAACATGACTAATGATGGCAGATTATGTAATCCTCACAAAACTCAGATCTGTCACAGATTAGTAATGAGACCCGTCTGGGGTTATTGCCAGTACCAAAGAGTAGAATCTACTGAATCTAATGGATGCCAGCTCCAGACTTCTGGGAAGCCCTCAAGACTTCGATTGTTTCTGTCTCCGTAAATGCCCGTTCAGAATTAAATTATTTTTCTGTGAGTCATGTCAGCCGTCCGGGTGAGTTACTGTTTCCTGATTGCTGCCATTCCCATGCACAACAGAGTTATTTACTGCAGCCGCAGTTTCATTAACCGTGTTTACATTTTAATTTTATCTGCAATCTAATCTGCTCAGGATGAGAAATGAAAACTGATTTCTGTGACAGACTTGTTGGAAAATACCTCACCGACAATTTATATTCTTAAGGGATAATCTGTTCAATTTTGATCCTGGTTGTGTGTGTAGCCGTGCGTTCCTCCTGGCAGGATAATGATTTATTCGCGTCGGCGCCCGTGGTGAGCTGACAGATTGGGAATGAGCTGTCTTTCATAAAACTAAGACATTGCTGTCTACTGTTGGCAGTTCCTCTAAACAAAACCCCAAAGGTAGCCTTGACACCTTCCTGTGTTGCCATGTTTAAAGGGGACATGTTATGAAAAATTCACTTTTTGCACGTTTTGTACTTCCATTTGGGTCTCTGCTTCTAAAACCAGAACAAGCACTGTTTTTGGTAATAACTTAATTTTTTTTTTATCTGGCATATTAGCTGTTGTAAAAGCCACTGCCCGTTACCTAGCAACCCCAGTGAAGCACAGCCCGTCACCTAGTAACCCAGCTGAATTCCAGGATGTTTGGTCAGCTGGTTTTGTACAATGGCTGCTGGAAAAGACAAATGTGTTCTTTATTGACTTACCATCCAGAAACCACTTGCTGCTCTCTTGTTGATTGTGCTGGAGGCTCCACCTCTGCTTTTCAAAGTTATGTGGTTGTACAATTGTCCCTCTGTTTGCAGCCAACCTCTGAACCAAATCCTGATAAGGCTCGTCTTACTGCTTGTAGTTAGTCAGTTAGGCTATGTTTGCACAGCAGGTCTTGATGCTTAATCCAGATTTTTTTATTTTTGATGAAATAAGATTTGTTTGTGTGTGTATGTGTGGTTGTTTATTACTAATTTATCTCGCCCTCACAGAGACTGCTGTGTGTTTGGTTTTCGACCCCAAATGAGCAGAGAATCTAGACGTCAGCAGCTTCTCACTTCTCAATATATGGAGCCATTCGTGGATTGCTTTTAAAGTTTCTTCAGCGACGGTATTGCCACCAGATCATAACATGATGAGAGAAGCTAATAAAAAGAAAGAACAACTAATAGCAATGGCTTTTTGTGGAGCATTGACTGCAACTTCTGTATAGAAGTCTGTTTGGAGGTGTTGTCAGAACCAGGAGTTTCCTGGTTGTGATGCACTTCAGTGACACAAACTTCTTTCATAACTTTATAATCATAATTTTCAGCCATTATTTATCATAATGAGTCTGGCTTCTTCTGGTGCAGAATTATGACGCATGTCTCACATCAATGACGTAAATGTCGGATAAAATCGGACATTACCGTTCAGATGGCAGGTGGTTTGATTGGATTTATTCTTGGTGATTTGGGCCATTAACTGTGTTTGTGTAGCATTTGTTGGTTTCAGTTTCTCCACCTGCCTTTTGGTCCAACGGTTCAGTCTAATCCTGGTCTCTGAGTCAGCTTATTAAATCTGACAAAGACTTTAGCCTCAGTGATTTGTGCTCCTTCTACTGCAAAGTACACAAATTAGCATCAAAATTGCTCCCGGTTCATTAAAGAAGTTGCTCTTCCAGCTATTTTTTTTTCATGGCTCCGTTCTTCATAAGAAAGGACACACATGGAGATTATTAGGATTACCTGGTGCTGACTCATGGTGCTTTGATGAATGTTTTCACCATGTCCTAAATATGGAGAAAGAGAAAATAACTTCCCACCAGTTTTCTGAAGTTCATCAGTGAACTTCCTGCAGAATGCAGGATGCATTAATGTTTGGGTTTTCTTTTGTCTGTTTTCTGCTTATATTATTGTCACTCCATATTTGCTCATTCCTTTGTACTGAGTGTTTTCGTTATTTCTTTTGTTCTGTTCTCTTTGATTTCATGTTAATCTTAGGTTTTTTTCATTTTGCTTTGTGGTTACTTTTGTGTTTTGGTTCACCTGTTCTTTGTTCTTTTCTCATTTACTAACACCTTCCTTCAGATCCCTAAATGTGGGAAAAATACAATTTTGAAGTTGCAGTGTTTCCATTAAGAAATAAATTAAATTAAAATCATACATGAATAACCTTGTTCATGCAATAAGTCATTAAAAATTATGGCAGCGACAGATGTAAGCAGTTACATGAGATATTTGTATAATTCAGTCATAGTGCTCATTGTTATCAGCCTTCAGAAAAGACATTTTAATCTCGCTATACTTGGGAGCGGCTACGAATGCGACTTTTGGGAAAATTGTAGTGCGATTTTACAGATATGAAAAATAACCTGTTATCCTCCTACCACTTCCTGTTGTCTTCTTCAGTGTTTCCACCAGTAGTAACATCCAGATGTTTATTATGTGACTATGATGAAGTGAAAAAAGTCTGTTGCAGTTTTGCAAAATACGTCTGTTTCTACACAGCTGAAAAACCATCTTCACCCAAATGCAGCAACGTTTTATCGAAACACGTCTGTTTTTTCTAAATCGACATGTTTCCACTAAGCAGATTTATTTTTCGTAAGTTCAATTTGTGCAGTTCTACAGTTAACGCAGATATTTCACAGCGCATATTAAGGTAGAAACTG